GTTAAGGTTGCCCTCTGCTATCAGAGAGCTGTATGGAGGAGTTTAATAGAGACAACAATCAGGAGCGGCGGCAGGAACACATGCAGTAACTTTTGCAGAGGAATGACTGCTCTTTTGCACCCACAGTGTGAAACATCGGAACTACATAATATTAACTTGTGATGTGAATTTTATTTTTTATTTGGTTTAAAATAAATAATAAAGCTTATGCATGGCTTTTGGTTTACATCTTTTGACTCCATTGCCTAAATCCAAAAGGTTTTAATTATGTTCATATGCATAGCAAAAATAATCAGTATACAAGATTAAATTAAATATCTGGGTTTATTTTAGTCCATCAGAACCAGAACCTCAAGGTTCTCCAATACTGGAGAGACAGCAGGCTCAAATTGTGGTAGTGGCAGCTATAGCAGCACTTTCGGTGACTGCTGCCATAAAATGCCACGACCTGCCAGTGACCTGCTAGTGGCTGCAACTTGTGGCAACCGTGACCTGCCATAGCTTAATAACGGCATCTTTTAGCTTCTGTGACGTATGCCATAGCTTTGTGTTAGACTGAATACGAATTATTTTATTTTGAACCAAAAAGAAAAACATACATCTGTCACTGATTCTGTGACATATACCGCAGCTTCTGTGTCAGGTTGAATTTGAATGATTAAAATAAATAAATAAATACATAAAACAGCTGGTGGATCTGGCACAGCCTGCTACGAAGCCCCATAGGGGACATGGGGAAAGTTTTTGTTTTGCATTTCCTCTTAATAAGTGTTGCGTTCCTGTGAATGTGAATCAAACTTATGGTGGTAGAGGGCCACACTGGGTTAAACTCGGGGAATCTCGTCTGGGCCACTTCTTTGTTCGATCAATTATCAGTTTATTCCATTTTAGACTGTCATGCTTCAAACTTTGTAAGGACTGAGACACAGACTGGACTGGCCAAACAAGGCACACATGCCAATGATCAACGGCCCCACAACACAGTCAACAGAAATTATGACCTGCACTCTGTGCCAGGTTGTGGCAGGTCATGACAGCCACAGCAGCTGTCACCAGAAGTGACGCTATAGGTGCCACTGCCGTAATTTGAGCTCGGCCCTGCTGCAATACTTAGTGTTCCTGCAAACATCAGCGGAGAGTTGACCACAGCTCACGTCCCGCCCACAATAGTGAGGAACAGAGCGTATAATGGAGAGGCTCACTACCTGGGGTAGAACCGAATCGCACATTAACCGGTTAGTCAGTGAATTACCAGTGGAAAAGCACCATAAAACACTTTCTCAGACTTTTTCAGTATTTGTTAACCTATTTAACAAACACAAACCACCTAACTTGAAACTGCCCTGCAACAACACAACATCTTACATCTTGAAATTAAAATATTAATCCCTTAATGTACTGACTGTTGTTTTCTTTGTTCATCCAAGTGACATCAAATACATGGTAATAAAAAAAGAAGTTGTTTTTTACTACCAAGTCTTGTGTGCATTAATAACATTTGTGGCTATTTGTAATAACTGCAGCCCAGATGTGCTAAGGAACGCTACAGAAAATCTTTTCTGCCCGAGGCTATCAGAGTTTATAATACATAGATAGTCTCTAGTGCTGTGCGTTTTAAATGTTCAATATATATCTAACAGTATATTAAGTCAGTGTTTCCCAACCCTGGTCCTCAAGGCTCGCTGCCCTGCATGTTTTAGGCGTTTCCTTGCTTCAGCACAGGTGATTTCAATTAGCAGGTGTTTGCTGAACTACAATCAGCTGAATGAGGTGCATTAAAACAGGGAAATTTCTAAAACATGCAGGTCATTGAGCCTGGAGGACCAGGGTTGGAAAACACTGTATTAAGCAATATGTGTGTGTCCTTAAGACCAGTGCTGCTCATTATTTATTGTTGTATGCTTATTACTATTACTTTATTTCTTATTTATTTACTTATTTTAACTTATATTGTGTCCTTTGCCTGGATAAACAAAATTCTGAATAAAATTTACAATAAAATAATTCTAGATTTGAGTTGCTTTGACAGAAACAAAAATCAGCTTGTGTACTATTAAATATAAAAATTATCATTTTTTTTTGAAGATGCGATCAAAAGAATCACATCGCTCGTGAACGTCACATCAATGCTCTCAGCAACAGATATGACTTGGCTTCCTCTGATCATATAAATAATCCTGTCATTTTCTTTCCACCGATATCTTCACTTTTGAGTGACCTGGTTTTAAGTCATTTGTCCGTTATTATTTTAAAATATAATCCTCTGGTTAGCTAGCTGTTTGCGTCACAGTTTGAGCTCACCTCACTGTAAATACAGTCATTTTCATGCAGTACCATGTCGACCATTAGGAGGCGCCCTCGGACCACCAGTGCTCTGTGGGCCACTGTGTGAGAAAGATTGCTCTAAGGTCATTGTTGACCTGATTGTTGGTTTTCTCATCCTGGAATTTGTAAGCTTGTCTTCTCCAGAGCAGCAAACTGCTTAAATTCCTCCTGGTAGTGAGTCATCAGGTGCATTTGACTAGCAGTGCCTGATTTCTTTGCCTTCCTATGTAACTTTGCTTGATTCTAATCTGATCTTCACAGCTCAGTCTGGGTGTTCTCTCACTGACTTTGATCCCTCTGGTAGATTTTCTACCAGGTCAATCAGCCAACAGAAGGAGCGGTCGTGAACTATGACATTAATTTTCTTTGCTGTTTTAGAATTGTAGTCTGCCTGTAGCAGAAAAAGTGAACAAAGCTGTTCAGTCCGCTTCCATATATTGAATTAACATTAACAGCCACCTCTTCAGCACTTCTCTCTTCACAGTTGAAGGATGGTTGTTTACAGTCGTGCATTGCATAAACATGGCTAAACATTTAGCCTTTGGGTAAAATGTAAAACCTCAACACAGTCCACGCCTCCAAGAAGCAATCGTTTCTCAATAACTAAGGGTCAATGCGTAACACAAGGGGCTGGTTTTTACTTGGCTGCAGGTTTCTACTTCTCTTGAATTCTGTGGAGGCTTTCATTTTTTCATCTCTAATTACAAAGATGTAAGTAGGTTTTCTATCACTGCAGATGCTTCGTGCAGCATCTTAAGTGATGCTGTGCGAAGTTGTTTTTTACTACCAAGTCTTGTGTGCATTAATAACAGCTGTGAAGACAACAGCTCTGGACAACACCTTTGTGGTGGTGAAGACAAAGCTGAGCCAAAAGGTGACGCTCTGAATTTATTAGTCGTTGTCTATGTTCCTACCCTCATCTATGGCCAGGGTAGGAGCTTTGGGTAGTGACCTAAAGAACAAGATGAGGAAATGAGTTGCCTTTGCAGGTTGTCTGGGTTCTTTCTTCAAAACTTGGTCATCTGGGAGGGACTCAGAGAAGAGCTGCTGCTTCTCCACATCAAGAGGAGCTGTTTGAGGTGACTTGGGCATCTGGTTAGGACACCTCCCTCGTGAGGTGTTCTGGGCATGTCCTACTGGGAGAAGACCCAGAGGAAGACCAAGGATATGCTGAAGGGACTATGCTTCTTGGCTAGTCTGGGAATGCCTTGAGATTCCCCTGGAGAAGCTGGTCCAAGTGGTTGGGGAGAGAGAAGTCTGGGATCTGGGTCTTCCTGCTTTAGGCTGTTGTCTGTGTGACCCGACCCTGGATAAGCAGAAGATAATGGATATCACAATCTTTCCATGTTGACTTAGTTTTAATAGAATCTGTCACATATTTTAGAGAATTGGATGTGCTTTCTTTTACCATGACTACATATAATAAATGGGTTATATTTACACTGCTCAAAAAAAACTAAAGGGAACACTCAAATAACACATCCTAGATCTGAATGAATGAAATATTCTCATTGAATACTTTGTTCTGTACACAGTTGAATGTGCTGACAACAAAATCACACAAAAATCATCAATGGAAATCAAATTTATTAACCAATGGAGGCCTGGATTTGGAGCCACACACAAAATTAAAGTGAAATGTTCCCTTTATTTTTTTGAGCAGTATAGATCAAAGACTATTATTTTGCTAAAGCATATCCCTGGACACTTAGCCTGGCAGAAACAATCAGACATACAACATTCTAAACTATTCCAGTGCCTCCTGTTCTAGTTACTGCTACAGACTACAGCTCCATTCTGGTAACAAATTTCACATTATTGTCTTTTCCTTTCTCCTCCCTTGTGATAGTCTGCTTTTATATGATGCCTGCTGTACTTGCTTCCTGTCGCTGTGGCTCTATTTACCATAGATCTGCTTATTATGTACTTGTGATGTACTTCTCCAAGTTAAGAGGTTCCGCCATTGGTACGTTTCCCACAGGCATCACCGCTCACTTCTCTCTCAAACTGCATTAGCATTGCTCACATGATAATGAGTGAAGGGTTGGTTGTGCAGAGTGGGAGCAAGCGGCTGGCAGAAAAAAAAAAAACAGTTAGGGAGATAATAGATTTGGAAGGGATGGGGCTGGGGGGCTGATTTGGTATGGAGGAGTGGATAAAGAGAAACTACTAAGAGTCTGAAACCCTAATCTGTTTAAGTCAGCCAGTGACACAGACGTAGCCTTTTGTCTTTTTAGGCCTGAGTTTGGAAAGAAGTTGGGGTGGGGTGATAAATCAGAGACAGAGAAGTGACAGCAATAAGTGTTTAGGTTCTTCACTGTTGGGCTCAGCGTCCTGTGACTATTGTTGTCTCCTAAACGAAGCACAATTTTCAATAGTTCATTCTTCTAATGCCACTATTGTCTACTGTGGCTCTCCCATATAATCTGTGCTGTTCCACAGGAGTAATGTCAGGATTGTGACACTTCCCACCCCTGTTTGTGTGTGTGATAAACCTCTAATTCTGTGAGAATGAGGCCATTTAAATGCTGTTTTGTTTTCTTTGCCCCATCATCTCACCCCTTTGCATACTACCTCTGAATGTGCACACACACACATGCACGCATACACACACACACACACACTTTATTGAATATTCATGTCTCACCAGGCCTTTTGTTTTTCTGTCTATACAGCGAGGAAGAGGGTTTGCTAGCTCCTTCCGTGTGGACATACCAGAGACTGCATGACTTTGCACAATCTCTCCCTGACAACTGGCTATAAAAATGCATCAAGACTGAACGCATTTTGTCGTCCCCTGCTCTTCTCCTTTGTTACTCACTGAAATGGAAGCTTACATTTGCCTTCGACTGCACACAGGATGAGGAACACAAAGTTTAATATTTGCTCTCTTCTGGAGCTGCTTTCCCAGGTTTTGGAAGCTTCCAGAATCTTGGTATTTAGTGCCAGTCGGACATGGAGCAGGAGGAAGAAGAGAAGGAGGTGAAATGGGTGCAGGGACGCTACTAAATGTATAACCTTACTGGGTGGACTCATTTTCTCAGCCGGACTGAGAAATCTCCTAAAAAAAACAAAACACAACAAAAACCCATAAAAATCAGAGAAAACTTGCAGTGGTGTAGAGGAAAACTGGATTTTTATTCTTCAAGCTGTGTGCCTGTTTACAGCACTGATGTTGATGTGGAAAATCACACCAGATGAGGACTTCATATAAACAACGTAAGTGACAGCCAATGAGAGAAACAGCCCTTTAGGCGTGCTCACACAGTGACGCACCAAACTGTACAGGAAAATCGTTGTGCATTTCTAAATGCAATACCACTGTTTGAGATTTTTCTATTCTGTTGTGTGGTCAGGTGTCTCTGGTACAATCTACTTTTAACTTGGTAAGAAAAGATGTGTGCAGGATATTGGATTTTCTGTTATTTTTATGTCACTTCTTTTACATTTATTTGATATTTGATTTTGATTTTCCTATGGCTTACATATTTCTGATTCTGAGCCATCCGGTTCTTTCTATCATGTCTGAGAAGTGTTTATTGTACTCTTTTAAAAACTTTGAAGCTTAATATAAAACTATATAAATTGATCTATATCTACTTGTTCTGAAGGCGTGCTGTTTGTTACTGAGTTTTCCTTTTCAGAGGTGTGACTCTAGTTGAAGTGCCCATGTAGAAAGCTTATTTTCTTCCGCTGGACACATAAGACACATTCCAGCCTTGGCAGATGGAAAACTTAGGTTCTCATTTTATATTTTTTCCCACTTTGAATAATGATAAAGATCATTTCTATAAATAAAGAGTTAATAATTTAGACTGAAAGTTGTGGTAATTTTGTGTCACAGTAAGCAACACTTTAAGGATGATCAGATGCAGCGTGTTGTTCACAATGCCGTTGAAATCTGGTATACATATTTGTTTCTCACACATTGCGAACACCAGTAAGCCAACAATAAATGGAACATAATGAAAATTTATGTCTTGTCTTTTTTTTTATAACCAAGTTTTAAAAAAGATGTTACTCTTTTTACACTTTGCTGCATAACAGATTCTTTTTTTCTGGTTTTCAAAATAGGTCACACACTCTTGTGTTAGAGGGGCTGCTGGTCTCCAGAGCTAGTAATCAGTTGTATTTTGTTTATCATTATGAGTCATATATTTGATTTTGTTGCATATTCTCATTGAATAATTGATTGATTTGTCTTGTTTCTTCAGTATTCACAGCTGATAACTATTTGAATGGTGAACTGATCTGGATTTGATTCTTTTATTTATCTGGAAAGACGTGTTCTGGCAGTGAACAAATAAAACAATAATTTAAGTTTAATATTAAAATATTTGTTCTCCACACATAGCTGGATTAGCACATATAGCTAATCCTAATATTTTACATTCTCCATGTTACTCAGATGTCACGATGCATTCATGTCTTATTAAGATCAGTGCAGCCATATGAACAGAGCAGCAGGTTTTCTAAATGACAGCTTGTTGTTCTTCAACACAACCGATGCAGGACGAGACTTGTTTGGTTATTTGGGAGAGGCTCTGAATGTCATTAACCTTATAAACTTGACTGATCGTAAAATAGACATAGCTTTGTTACTTCCCCAAACACCTGATAAGATAGTACCATAATGTTTAGGAAGTGAAATGAACCAGTCAAGAGAAAAGTGTTTATCACTGTGTGTCCTCTGCTGTAGTGACCTGACACACATTCTGTAATCCGCGCTTTTCTCTTTATGTCGATGAGATTTTATCTCTCTGAAGTCGATGTTTCAGTTATAATCCTAAATAGATTATAGTTTTTACAAACTGTTTCACCAAAACTGAGGCAGAAATCAGAAATACACACACACACACACACACCCTTGTACTTCTGAGAACTTTTATTGACTTCCATTCTTTTTAGTGACTGTATTTATGCCTAACCCAGACAGTTTCCCTAAACTACATCACTAGTATGTTCCTAGCCTAAACTTAACCTAAACTTAGTTCACACCACAGTCCTAAACATAAACCCTAGCAGCTAAGCAACACTTCTTCTTGTGGGACCTGGGCTTTGGGGCTCTCAGTCGGTCCCCACAATGTAGCATGTGTTAGGAAAATGGTCCTTACACTGCATCAAATAAAAGGCACACACACACACACTAATCCTCTCTTCTGGTACATGGTAGAAAATCTTTAATCATTTTTAAGCTATTTTAGATGCAAAACTAAAAGAGATTTTTAATGTAAAGGTTACATTTAACAGGCAGGAATGCTAAATACCAACAAGATCATTTCTTAGTCTTCATAATTTTTTCAGTGTGGATTTAGAATGAAAGTCAGAATTTAAATAAAAGTCTACAAATAACATGAGGTGGTGGTGCAAATAGGAGCTCTGGTTCTTTTGTTGCTGTGTAATGAGGGCAGAGCTATCAAAGCTGCACCATTTAGATTGAGGACAAATGTTACACCAAGAGCAAGTGTAGTTTAATCATATCTATTTTCCGTTAAATTGAACTTATTGTGTTTGACCTCCATTCAATACTAATCTCACACAAACCAAAAACTTTCATTTCCATGTGCATTTATGCACCCAAGCTCCTAATGGGAAAAACCATTAGAGTATAATGAAAGATAAATTAAAAAGGAAAAAAGACACTTGTAATTCCCCCAGTGAGTATGTTGGGAAAGAGGCAGATGCTGATATAAAGAATGTCTTTGCTCTTTCTATTTTCAGTGAGTTGCAGATTGAGGAATGAGGAAGTAATTGTGATAGCAACTTTCAAAGTCATTCACTTTCCAAAGGCAGAAAGGATTATAACAGCAGGCTAAACTTTTTCATGCTAATCCACTCTTTTTTTTTTTTACAGATGACTTGACACATAAGCCAGTGAAGTGGTCAGTAAACGTTGTGCTTTGTAAAAGGAGAAGTTTATAATGTTTTATACGAAGGCTTACCTGCCAAGTTTTGGACTTGAGAATACGAGAGATAGTTATCTGCTGCTGCTGCCGTCAGAGCGGGGAAGGAGGAGGCTGGGGTCGTAGGTGTGAAGAAAACTAAGAGACTTTTTTCTTCTGGTAAATCCTGCCATTTTGGAAGTTTTCAGAGGATTCCTTCCTAAACTTATCTATGCAAATTGTGACTTTCTTTCACAATATTCCAGGAACATTGCAAGCAAAATAAAGTCATCCATGTCTGTTCTCCATAGACACATGCAGAGGATAACAAAACGTTTTCTTTTTCCAGCAGCACCGGGACGCCTGCAGGATACTATTGGAGGGTACGCACAATATTATCACTGCACCTGACCCACAAGAGCACAACCACATCTCTAACATGTCATCATGTATGTGTCGCACAAAACAGAACAAACCTAAACCACACAAACACAGGAAATATGGACGTATTTTGCATGGGCAGTTTTTACAAAATCTACTAACTAATAATGAGAGGAAAACAAAGTCCACAATGTGATCCATGAGAGGAGGAGGATGGAGATTCCCACGTTCAGGTGGTGTGTCAGACTTCCACAGGAGGAGGAGGTGAAGCAATAACAACTTCTACTCTTTTTGGCAAAGTTTCAACTAGATTTAACTGTTGAACTTCCTCGCAGTCTCAGCACGATGCTCAGGAAGAGTGCGATAGATCCCACAAGAACTGCGCAGAAGGTAAAAAGCTCAGGCGAGGTTCACTCAGCGACACTTAGGACACAGGAGTGAAGCATTTTTAACTAGCTTCACTGCATAGCGGCGTTTAGTTTACAGAAAGAGCACCAAGCTGCCAAATAAACAAAAATTAAGCTGACCGATAAGGTTTAGGTTAGATTTGAATAAAGCTCCACCTGGGTTGGCAGGTGAGTGACCAGAATTGGTTTGGGGTTGATAGGTAACAAATTGTTTCTGAATCAATTTAGAGGTTTTTGAAGCAGGGTGTTTAGCAGTCACCAGCAGAACATTTACTTATTCCCAAAAGCAATTGAGTGCTTTTATTTTTGCTCTCAAGCTGTTTTTAGCATAGAAAAAATAAAGAGTAAACTCTGCATTGGCTACTTGGGTGCAGGAAATATAGCGGCCATCTTGGAACGGATATTTTTATTCAAATCGACAGACTATTGACGTGAAGGGATAACTTTTCACAAGTAAGATGGACAAATTATTATTTATATTTTGTGATTAGAATATTTATGCCCACCAGCGAATGCCAACTAATACTTGGTGTAATACTGGGGTTCATATATATTATAATTATATATATATTAAATAACATTCACCAGTTAACACAGGTGGAAAAGATTATTATTTACATGTGGTCCATCCATCTTCTGTACACCCTCATCCCTTAATGGGTCAGGAGGGTTGCTGGTGCCTCTGCAGCCAATGTTCTGGGCGAGAGGTGGGGTCACCCTGGACAGGTTGCCAGTCTGTCACAGGACACACAACCATGCACACACACACTTTCACCTAGGGAGAAACCAATTAACCTAACAGTCATGTTTTTGGACTGTGGGAGGAACCTGGAGTACCCAGAGAGAACCCACCATGCACAGGGAGAACATGCAAGCTCCATGCAGAAAGACCTGGGCCAGGAATTGAACCCAGGACCTTCTTGCTGCAAGGCGACAGCTCTACCAACTGCACCACTGTGCAGTCCACTATAGAGATATATTATGCAAATATACATGTGTATACAAATATGCACAAAACATTTGTATTGTTTTGTGTTATACATATTTTTTAAAATATACAATTACTAAATAAATATAAAACAATGAGTGGTTGTTTGCTTTGTAAAATGCTCATCACACATCAAATCGGAATATTCTATTCCGATTTTATTCTGTTTTCCCCACTAAGAATATTTAAGTATGCTGAACCATGTATCAATTCAATTAAAAAATACCTAACAAAATAAATTTCCTTGTACAAGTAAAGGCCATTTACCATTTTGTCCTGCAGATCAGGGTAGAACTTTTTCTCCATCCAAGTCCAGCCCTCAGTCAGAAAACTCTTCTCTAAACCAGATCTCAACTTCCTGATTTCTTCCTGCTTCCACAAAGATTCTTTGTTCCTGTTTCAATCCTCGTCTTGACACCATCTTTTGGCCGCCAGTGAAACATCTTCTTCTTGTTGTGGAATAATTCAAATTTCTTTGGTTCCCGTTTGATGAAAACAGCTTCAGAAATCCTTGGCGACAGTTCGATTCAGTGACATTTCCTCTGAGAAGGAAAGAAGAAAATAGGTCACCTAGCTTCAGGAAACTTTAGCTGTGATGCTCATAGGCTCAATACACACAGTCTTTTATCAGCTGTAAGTTAATCATTTTTGCAGCAGAGAATGCTGTCTGGCATATGTAGCCTTTGTGCTGCAGGCGCTGCAACCCTGCAGGCCGTCTGTGATGCATGAACAGCAGAACGTCCCAGACTGAAGAGCCAGAGGTAAATTTAGAGAAAGGAGCCAAATTCTCTCCTCTCTGTAACTGAGTTACAGTCTGTTTTTTCCAGACTGAAGAACATCCAGTGGATGGATTTTAGTTGGAAAGAAACACTGAAGGACCCTCAATGCTGCTACTGTTAAATGCATCAGCAGGTTCTGTCTGTGAAATGTAACTGGCCACGACAAAACCATGAAAACGTCGAGGGCGTTTTGAGTTTATAATTTGTGAAAGTGTAGAAATTAAAAAATAAGTTCTTCACTACAACACTTGTAGTCATCATTTTAGGGTTATTTGTAATTTAGAAGCACAATAAAAGAAAAATAGGCAAGAGTTGCTTTTGTCAGAAACAAAAATACTCTTCTGCATCATTAAATCTAAAAATTCTGTTTATTTATGTCAAACATGATCGCAGTATAAAATAACACACATGAACAAGGAATGCTAAAGACACATTTTTTGTACCATAATAATCTTAACATACTTGAAAAGGTGTAGGAAGAAGTAAGAAACTTATAAACTCATACAATCAAATAAAAAAAAATAAAATATAAACATAGG